TGTGCTGACACCTGTCTATAAATGACAAAAGGCTGTCAAAAAATGTTATCGCTTTTTCTTTCTCTATCTCTCTTTCCACAAGTCTTTCTAGTGGTGACAACTTGACGAAAAATATGATGACTGACTCCTTCTGATGATCAGTTGTCTTTGGGCCCTCGCCTCATTTAAGACATATAGTGGACTCATTTTAGCTGTCCTAGGACTTGTAAGCATTCTTCTGTAAAACCACATCTCTGAGAGTAATTAGGGGGAATTTCCACATCAAGTTTCGAGTGACGTGATAAGGTTAAATACAGGTTGAGAGAGAAATGCATGACAGCATGAATACCTGCAGAAGCACGAATTGCAGGAAGAGTGCTCAGGTGACTGCACGAAGAAATTAGGTTAAAAGATTGGACAAGGTTCTAAAGGAGTGCATGATTCGCAGCCAGCGTGAGAGGTTGTGTTTTGTGTGAGCATGTTATGCGACATCGTCTAACTGAAGAGCGTGGAGGAGATCGAATTCAACAAGATGACAGCCTAGCCCGAATCTAGTTAAGTCGACAACTAGCCTCATGGAGCTGAACAGCCAGCGGCCTGAGATGCTTGTTTGATACCTGCACATGTGGCACGATTGAGACGTGAAGATTGCAAAGGTAGCAAACATGAATGCTTGTAAACAGCGGTAAGGAACTTTGTCACCTGTTGAATATTTGGACATGCCAGAGAGTAGCTGACGGTGACTGGACCGGATTGTCTTCTGTGAGTAATAAAGATATAAACTGCGACTGTGTCTCCTCAATAACAACTGTGTGCATCAATTCATCATGTGTGTCAGCCATAGTACAATCCCCTAGGAAACAGCCAGAGCACACTAAGGGAACAACGTCGCACTGAGGCCTCAGGACTTGTTTATTAATCGTCTTGGATTCACAGCCTTATGTTGAAACTATCTCAAGATGGCATGCGCAAATTCTTTATTAAACCCCCATGACAGGGATTTACTGCATAAGGTGAACTTTTTAAAAAAAGGCAGTGTTTTGCCTATCCTATTCTGTTTTTCTGTGATTTATCTTCCGTCTGATGTTATCCATGTGCAGAAAAACGTAAACTAAACTTGTCCCAAAATAATGACAGTGTCTATTATAAAATCAATCTTATCATATATTCAAGTTTCTATTTTGAACAAATCAAAGCTATGTTTCAAACAAAGTAGACCTGCTGACAGTCTTTATGTAGACTGTATGCATGATAACATCTGTAGGCTCTGCCATTTCAACATCAAAACTTAATCAAATGACATAAAGCTTCTAAAAATGACAGTGCATGGGAATTAGCAAGTACTGACAAATGCAATTATTCTTTGAAACAAACAGGAGGTTTCAGAACTGGCTGCATCAGGTAAAGTACAAAATTAAGCCTAAGTTTTGAAAAAAAAACTAGTATACAGTACATTATTATTTGTCGTCATTCTGAACATAAAATATGAGACCATTAAAAAAAATAATCAAGTTTTATGCTAATTTTATAACTATTTTTTCACCTATGGGCTGATAAAAAAAAAAAAGAACAGAAACCACACCAATGAAACATGCGTAGATCTTAAGATAGAGCAAGTGGAAAGTGTAAAGAAATTACTTTATAATAACTAAAACACTTCAGAAAAGGTGTCAACGCAGTCCTGTTGTGCCCAAATGAGAACTTATGACACATAATTCATCATCATCATTTAGCAGGTCTTTTTCAGAATTTCACTCTCATAATGGTCCGCCTGAAAGAAACTTTGTCTCTTACCAGCTCTCCCCCTCAAGCAATTTCATATTCAAGGAGTCACTAGAACGTGTGTCCATTTTCGTGTTGGTTGGCCCCTTATAGGTCTTGCTACCCCCCCCCCCCCCCCCCCCCCTCAATTTGCCGTGGTGCTTGATATAGCCAAAATATTTAAAATTCTGAAACAAAATGCTGTTCATAGCTAATTTTCTTTGATGTTCACAGCTTTAAGTATTTCTTGTCTTTTGTCCATTCAAGAATCATCCTACAGCATTTCAGCTCAACAGCGCCTATTTTCTTATTTAAGACAGAGGTAATCCACGACTCACATCCGTTTGTTGCTACAGGAAAGATGCATGCTCTCAAAAGTTTTATTTGATTTCCTTGCTGGTGCTTAACCATAGACTGTTGATGCTGTTTAACATATAATTAGTCCTCAGCAAAGAATATACTGATAAAAAAAAGAATTACAAGCGAAAACCAGAAATCGCAGCAGAGAAAAATAATTAGGTCCTTGATATATAAATGCAGCTGTGAAATGTGCATATGAAACAATGTTCTTCTTCTTCTTCGTGTTCACCAGATGTAAACTCTGGCAGAAAGTTCTGGTTGTTCATCCACTTTTGGGCTGCAGTCCTGTTCCAGAAACTGAGTGTTGCGTGTTCATCCATTTTACAGATCTGTTAGTTAGTTAGTTAGTTAGTTAGTTAGTTAGTTAGGTTATCCTCATTGCACTCCGGACATGTCCATAGGTGCTCAGATCCTCCCCTCAGTATGAACCCCAACGTCCGATGGCTAATAGTACCAGTTCTATGTTGATTAACAAGTCTTCTGGCGTAGCTGGTGTGCGTCTCGTTTTTTGCTGTGCCGATCTTAATTCCCAAGTCTGCCATTCTGGCGAGTGATGTGGATTCACTGCCACCAAAGTCGTCTATCCTTCCCATTTCTCTGAGGGCATTGATAATATCAGCATGATCCATAGGCTGACCGTCGGTAGTGATAGCGGATCCAGCCAACCTGTCAGCTCTTTCATTTCCATCGACGCCTGCGTGTCCCGGAACAAAAATAAAGGTGACTCCACGGACAGTGGACTTCTGTAATGATTCAAGCCATTGTCTTCGCACTGAACCTGCCTGAACCCTCCGGATCATACTCATTGAATCACTGAGTATACACACGCGGGTGTATTTTTGTGTTTCAAGCCAGGCAAGCGCTTGTGTCACTGCCATCACCTCCATCGTCATGCTGCTGGTTGTCATGGAGAAGGTGCGGTTGGCTTCTTTGACTGTTCTGCCCGCTGAGCGTGCTGTAAATGCCCATGCGCTTCTTCTTTGGCGTATAACGGATCCGTCTGTATAGATTATTGCATCTGCTTCGTCTAAATTTTCACCGATGAGAGCGTTGACCTCTGCATTAACAGCAACAGGATTCTCTTCTCTACATCGCCTGTTGAGTGTGACAATACAGGAAAATGTACAAATAAACGCCTGAGGCACAGGTATCCATTCTGCACCAGGTATGATGTCGGTTAGGCTGCATATTTGCCTAATAACATCTTCTGCCCGACCTAGCCACGATTTCCCCCTCTTCAGTCTGTCGCCCTTTTCACTAAAAAGCGCTTGATGCAGTGGGTGTTTCTTATCAGCACATATTTTGAGATATGCCCGAGCCCTCCACATTCTGATCCTTTGGTTCATTGTTGGAAAGTCAAGTAGATACCTCATTGCTCCACAGGATGTGTCTCTAGTACATCCCAAAATAATGCGCATGGCTTCATTTTGCACCTTTTCGAGTCGTTCAATCTGGGTAGCACTGACAGTGAGGATGGCCAGAGCGTATTCAATGGGGGAAAGGACCAGACCGTAGAATAGAAGTATTAGTAGTCTTTGCTCAATGTTGGAAGCAGCCATAATCCTCATTGCAGATAGACCTTTGCGTGCTTTTGTTATCACATGGTCAACGTGTTCCCTGAATGACAAGCTGCGATCGAACCTCACCCCGAGAAACGTCATAACGTTGGTTCTGATCAATACATTATCACGCATTTTCACTTCTGGTAAGTCCGACTTGACAATGTGATTATTCAAAGAGAACCATGACACTGATGCCTTCGAAGGATTGACATAGGCATTGGAACCATCACACCAGGCGGCAATTCGATCGAGTTCTTTGTGCATAGTGCTGGCGATCTCCTGTCTATCACGCCCTCGTCGATAAATCAAAATGTCATCAGCAAATGACAAAGTCCTTCCCTTTCCATTCAACTGCTGCTCAGTGATCATCACCGTACAGATCTGACTAATTTGTATGCAGACTGCTGGTTCCTTGCCTCTCAGGCAGAGGCACTCTGGTTTCCAAGGAAGCTCCCCATTAGTCAACTCTTATGACATGCTTTTAGGTAGGTCTATTCTCGTTTTTCCTATAATAGAGCCATGGAACCCACACAGAAAAAACAATGTTCAATACTGGCAAAAATCATAAGAATCCTAAAAATGCATATTATTAATTTCTCCCATTGTTCAATTATTCACTAAAACAACTCATTTATAAAAATATGATTGCAGAAATTTCATATTCTCATGAATTCTAAAATAAGCATTTTTAAAATATGACTGATGCTTTCATTACATTTTAACCAATTACTTGCATAAATAGTTGAAGTCAACAAGCGAAAAGAGACAACCAGAGATTATGAGACGAGTGATACCTGCGCCAATGAACCACAATGGCTAGGAATGCTCAAGAAGAAAACTGGATCAATAGTGCACATAATTCCATTCAATGTATAACAAACTTAGTTATTTATAGCCAGTTGTTATTTATAGCCAGTTGTATCATGAACTGAAATAAGTTACAAAGATATTCTGTTTATTTAGGAAAGAATATCTTCTAGATAATTTGGACTGCAAATAAAAAGTTTATCACAGTAGATCATTTAATATAAAACAAATGTTTACAATTGTAAACAGCCCTTTCAACTGATTATAAAACTGTATTTCGAAAAGTGATTTTCAACGTGTACTAAGCAATGCATTAAATGTTTACTGCCTACACAACTGACATGGTCTTCACCATTGTTTTTTTCTTCTTTTCTAGTTGTTAAATTAACCCTTTCTATTCTAGTGGTTCATTTAACCCCTCTGTCACACAGGACTATTATTTTAAGCTCTGTAAACATAAGTAACTATTAAGGTAAACACAGCTTTAGAACGAAAAAACAGAAGAGTAAAAATTGTCTGATGCTGAAAGGGTTAATGGCCAGGATTCTGAAAATCTTGCTTCCACAAAAATTCCTCCAAGTACAAGTTGCCGGGGTTACAGCTTTCCTGGCATGTATAAATACACAATGTTCCCCAGTCAAGACTTGCATCAAGATGATCAACATTTAGGTAGTTGAGAAGTTGTGGCATCACCTACAAACAAAAATTCAGAATAAGAGATTTCCATATGATCTCCCAAAGGAAACAGTTAACTAAGGAAACAGTTAATGAATAAATGACTGTTAATTAATATAACAATGAATGTCCAGTTATTGCAAGAAAATATATTTAAAAAATAAATATCTCAAGGTGGTTTCTGATGAAACACAGAAAATATAAGCCACCTTACCTGTGTTTTTACAATGCATTTGAGACCATGTAACATAAGAGTGAGACAGCAAAAAAAAACAAAAAAAAACCATAATGTCCATACTAACAGTAATATGCTTCACCAACATTAGGATAATTCTGATACAAGTTAGATCCATTAAAATACACCTTCATTTCTTGCAGTACCATTCTGTTCAGACCATGATGATCCATCTGTGCTTCTGCATTGTTCACCCCCCCCCCCTCCACTGGCCATTAAAACATCTAGATTTTTATGCATCAATACACCCCCAAGGTCTGCTGAATCACCAGGTCTATCCGCCTGCTCGTTTCCAAACACACTGGCATATCCTGGTGGAAACATTCAAAGGATGCTAACAACCCGGGACCTGTGAAGGGAAACTTGCCACACTCACGGAACATACTGGTCTCCACCTTTCTCAAAATGCTCTGTGTGTCGTTAGAATTACGACACGTGTGTACAGCTGATTCTCAAGCCAGTAAAAGGCTGCAATGACTGCCTCCACCTCCATTATAAAACCTGATGCAGTAGTATCAAATTCTAGCTTTGTTGCACTCAACGACATCAACTGACTTCTGTTAAGAACTCCCATGAGCTTTGTCTGCATCTCAACACAGAGCCATCTGTACAGATTATCACATTACTTGGTGTCACAACCCTAAGAGTACAGTGAGTGGCAGAATAGACTACACCGTAAGGTGTTGAGGTGACACCCCAGGGTTGACACAAAGGTCAGGGCCGTGACTGGTCAAGTCTGTTCTGTTATTGCACGGTGAAACCAGCTCTCAGGATGAAGCGTTTGGCCACGGCAAGAAAGAGCGAACTTTGTTGTGGACAAGTCCGCAACACGATTACCGCTTTCAGGACGGGGTCAAGAGACACGAGGTGGAGAGAACACAGGACATTCGGTGTGCGACGGTCAGAGAGAGAAGACGTTTAGCGAGACAGTGAGTGTATTAGAGTTAGGATATTTCTGTTAGTGACTGCATAGTTTATGTACAGTGTTCTGTTAGAATAGGATAGTTCTTGTGTAGGGTATTTATACATGTTTTGTGAGAGAATGTCTAACCTTGGCACTCTGAACCTGCACTGAGACAGAGGCTGTGACAGTTTGGTTGGTCAGTGTGTCAATAGTTAAGAGCGTATGTCGTGACCGTGTGGTTTGTGCACCAGGAGATTGCTTGTGGAACGTACTGGGAGCGAGGCGACTGTAAAGCTCGTTCGGCCAGAGGGTCCAAGCAATAGGTGGCCACACAGCGGGAAGTCAACTGTCTATTGTATTACCTGTACTTACAATAAAGATTGTCGTGTGTGCTCTGTGTGCGTTCGGGTTCAGTGTGCGTTACGAGCCACGGACCAGCAAGGTCACCCAGAGGTCTGTGACAGATAATGTCATTCCTGACTCTACTCTTGTTACGACAGATATTCTCTTTTCTGTACAACAAGACTTACCTGCAACCAAACAAATCTTAACACCTAATATTACCCAATAAATTTCAGAAACATCTACACAGAAAGCTGAAATTGGTAATGTACTCTCTGATGTGCCAGGCAGATGTACACACATTTACCAGCATCTACAATTAATAATCAACATACTTTATTATTTCTGATTTTGCAATGTATACTGTTGACATGTGCATGTTTATTAATGATGCCTCATAGATTACCTATTGGTCAAGGATCCCAACATTTTGGATTTACAGAAATACCATCAAAAGTCCATATTTATCTTGAGGATCACACCAAAATTTTGAATCTTAAAAACCCCACCACCAATAAGGAGATCCGAAGCTTACTCGATCTCATCAATCTTTACAACCAATTTACCCCGAAAATTATCTGTAGTTTTTTAGGGTCCAAGCAATAGGTGGCCACACAGCGGGAAGTCAACTGTCTATTGTATTACCTGTACTTACAAAAAGATTGTCGTGTTTGCTCTGTGTGCGTTCGGGTTCAGTGTGTGTCAAAGGTTAGTCTGTCTGTCATAGGCCCTGTTACGAGCCACGGACCAGCAAGGTCACCCAGAGGTCTGTGACACTTGGGTGACAATTGTCATGAATCATTTGTCAAACTTCTGATTCTGCAGCACCCGTTGCCAGTCCCTGAACTCATGGCCCAGTGTGATCAGAATCCAGCACAAGTCTGAATTTAGCTGGAACATTCTGACCCACTCCTCTCATTGCCCAATTTTATCAAGACTACACAACGTCTAATTGTGTCTTCAGCCATTTAAGGCCATCTTCTTTACAGCCTGTGGCCTTTAGCTCTGTCTAGGGTTTCCTATAGGAGATGTTTCTTATCTGTGGCTACTGTGAGGTATGACTTAGCTAGCAGCACTTTGAGCCTATCTTTAATAGTCGGCAGTGCAATTATATATCGAATAAATACTAACGGGGTATCTCTTGTACATTTCAGAACTACCCTCATGACTTTGTTCTGTATGCATTTAATTGTTATCAGTTGATACTTTGATCTGTAAATGTCAATATCCTTTCAATACCTAGTGCTTCAATTTCTGCAATCCTGCTTGCATACACACTGAAGAGCAATGGTGAAAATGCAGAACCCTGAAGCATTGCCCGGTCAGTACTGCATGCTTCTGAGGTCAATGTGCCCAGGCAGAGGGTAACTTTATGTGAATGCAGGACAGCTGCTATCCAGTTCACTAGCCAGGGATATGAGCGCAAATATCAAAACATCATATCCAACTCTATTGTGAGCATTCTTAAGATCAGGAGTAGCCACCGTATCCTGTCTATTTTGGAACCCCTCATAAACATCAAAGGCAAATATGGTATCTGTCCCTGGTCAGAAACTGCCCAGACCTCTTTCTTCTCTTTAAAAAAACAAAAACAAAAAAGCCTACAGTTCAATAGCATGCACATTGTAGAAAGTATTCTAAAGAGTGATAATCCTGAAACTGCTGAGTCTCCCTGTATGTGTTCCGGGGCTCCACTGTGAGTGAAACAAGAAGAGACCCACTTTTATCCCATTTGATGGTCTTATTCTATTAAATGTTTAATTATAAAGATCCTATCTGTACAGCTTCTATAGCCCATCTGTTGTTCTATCACAGATTTCAACCTTATTTCTATTATTGTGGTGTAAATTTTTCTATTATGGCTTCAGAGACATGCCTCGGTATGGACTACATTCTCGCTTCCTTAATCTTTTGTTCTTCCACAATGGTTGTGAACTGAATTGGATTATCTTCACAGCGCTCAGGACACATTAATAAGTGCTCAGATTCCACCTTCAACATGTTAGACAAGATTATGTGTGCGTCCGGTGTGCTTTTCATGCTTGGCTGTGCCGATCTTTACTTCCAATTCTTGTATTCTTAGCAGTTATGTGGACACATTGCTTCCAAAATCCTTGGCACATCCTATCTCTCTTAGGACATTGACAATGTCTGCGTGATCCACGGGCCAGACATCTGCAATTAACATGGAACCTGCCAGTCTATCATCTCTTTCATTACCAACAACGCCTGCATGCCCTAGGACGAATATGAAGATAACTGCACACACAGGAGAGTTTTGCAATGACTCAATCCACTGTCTGCGTAACAAGCCTGCCTCGACCTACTGGATCATGCTCAAAGAATCAATCAGCAAACAAGCGCGGGAATAGTCCTGTGATTCAAGCCCCGTGAAAGCTTGTGTCACCGCCATCCCCATGCCGCTGGTAGTCATGTAGAAGGCACCACTGGCTTCTTGGACTGTTCTGCATGAAGAGCGAGCTAAAAATGCCCATGCACTCTTATGTCCTCGTATAATGGACCCATCTGTGAAGATCAGCATATCTGTGTCCTCTGACATGTCACTTATAAGCGCACATACCTCTGCATTGACAGCAACGGGATTCTGCACCCAACAACTCCTAACAAGCTTGACGACACAGGAGAATGTGAGACTGGCAGCTTCAGACATTGGTATCAATTCCTCATTAGAATGGATGTCTGTAAGACTACAGATTCCACAATGGTGTAACTGCTGCATATCTCCAATCTATGGAAGCAGTTTATTGTACTTATGCTGCATTAAATATTCTGTGAAACCATGTGATGTATCTTCCCTCTCTGCTGCTAGGATTATGTTTCTCAGTAATCTATCAGCTTCTGGTGCTTTATATGCGGGAGTCTACTTAATGACTTTCTATTTGATTCATTAGTAAATCTAGTTCTAGCACTGTTGCTGTGTGGTCTTGCATAGTTCTTTCCTAGTAATCCCTAAGGGGGTAAAAAACTCACTAAAATATTCCCTCCATCTTTGTACTATTTCTGGTGGATCTATTAATAGCCTTCTGTTTTATCATTATTCATTTTATAAGGATTGTATAGCTCTCATCTTTTTCTCACATGCTTTTGACTACTTGAAAAATAGTTTTATTGGCTATTGTCTCACTTTCTGTTATCACTGTCGGAAATATTCCCAAGATTCCTGTTTTGCTTTCTCTGGCTGGTTTATCTCTGTTACAGTCTATAGGTGACATAATCTTCACCTCTCTTTGATTTTATCCACTGTTTGTATATAACTGCTTTTACTTCTAAACATCACCAAGGTAAATATTTATGATAACTCTGTCTGTTTCCACATGATTTCTCTGGAAAACTAAGCATAATGGTTTTTATATTCATTCCATTCAACTTCAGTATTGACCACCTGGATAATCGGTAGGCAGGCCAAACAATTTCTTGAGGCCTCAGAGATGTGGTTTTACAGAAGAATGCTTAAAATACTTTGGACAGCCAAAAAGAGCAACCAAGAGGTTCTAAGAGAGGCGGGAGCCCGAAGACAACTTATCACAGACATCAGAAGGAGACATATTTTTCGGCCATATTATGAGAAGAGGGAAAATGGAACATGTTGTGACCACTGGAAAGGTCTGTGGAAGGAGGGATACAGGAAGACTAGAGAAGATTTTTGACAGTTTTGTTGCATGGCATAGAGGTGTGTCGGCACACAAACTGATACATGCTGCAAGAGATCGCAGATTGTGGAGAGGCATGATTGTCCACTGCTGCAGGTAATAGTTTGATTGTTGTTTCTACTTTCTGTTGTAACTGCTCTTCTATTCCTTCTTGTTTCAAATTTGTTATCTTGGTGAGATCTTGTTTTTTCGTTATTTATTTATTACCTACCCTCCTGCTAAAATTCCCCATTACATACAATGTGCTCATTATCTCCACTTTATCTTTTCAAACGGAGCAAAGAATGTCTTTTTGTTCGTGTAGCTATTACTGCATGGTATAAATATTTGTATGGTTTTTTTTAATCGCTTGGTTTTCAATGTTACAATCCTGTTATAATTGATGCCTCATGAAATTAGCTGTATCTGAAGGTATCAGGAAACTTAACTCCATTCTACAATGTTCTTCCTCCTGCTTATATTAGTAAGCAGTCTCTGTCTACTTTCTTGCTACCATTTCCTTTGACATAAGGTTTTAATTGCTACTGTAAAACACTGCCAATGAATTACATCTGCCATTTTTGTTCAATGTAAATTTTTGACAATCATGCAGCTAATGAAACAAACATTCTTACAACCTGAAATTCAAATATTCTTGCAGCTCCACAGGAACAGTTAGGCACATTTTCTTTTGTTGCTTTGTGAAACGCAGAAACCCAAAGTGGTTCTCCTCCTCTGTCATAGCGTAACACCTACCAAAAAAAAAAAAAAAACACTGGGATAGGCTATGTCCAAAAGATACATACTGACATATTACTTTTTAAGTCTTTAATACTGACCCCAAAGCAGAGAGAAATGCCCATAGCCAAACAATAATTTGACAGCATCCTCAACAAAATATCTGGGTTGGACCAAAACATACTCTAGAAGAAAACATTATACAGCTGGGGATATTCAGGCCAACAGGAAGGCCAGCCAGTGTTTCATGAATTATTTTTAACGCATTTTTGTATGAAACGACCACACGTACAGCGTCTGGTTACATTTACAGTATTGCAAAAGCTATTCAGAAAGAGCCGTACAAAAGCATAGGCCTCAAAAGGGCCCAATTCATGTAAATTAATGACTATTTTAATTACCCTGTGAGGTCAGTAGACACAAAGTAATGTCACTGAATAACTTCCTTGGATTCCAAGTTCAAACTTTCATGGTGGATTTTGTTAGTTGAATCGCAACTTCTCAAGTATGATTGATTACTGTTTTAGCTGCACTGTATGAGATAGGGTGTTGCTGTTATGGTTGCCTGCTGCACGCACAGTCAGTAATTTCATCAGCATCATCATTAAAGAGAGTATACCACAGTCACCCATCTTTGACCATCTGCATCAGTGACCATAAATAAGATAATGTATCAACTCTGGCAAAATATTAAAGCATAACAACTGCTACCTCTGATTCATCCTTATACTAGATATTGTGACCTTATAAACCCAGCTCTATTCCCTTACAGTTCTACCCTGCACTCTAACTATAAACCAAATCTGCAGAGCTTCTTAGTATTGATCCAGCCTAGAAAATGATGAAAATGTGAAAACTGGCAGTTACTGAACTGCTGTGGTATTCTGACCTCACAATAACTGTTTGTCCAGATTTATGAAGGCACTGTGCTGTGTCCATATATTGTGCACTACAAACGCAGTCAGCCCATCAGTAATTTAAAGAGTTGATTGTGAATGTTAACAGGAGTATGCATTGTGCCAGTCTATGCATGCATGCACACAATGTATTTGTCAGATCCTCTTTGCTCCCTGCCAGAAGTACACAATTAATTCAATCAATGACATCTATTACTAGAGGAAGTCAATAAGTGAGTCACAAATGGTTATGGGATGCCCGGAAAATGTTGGTGACCGATTCCAAAAGGTGCCATTAGGTGACACCAACATCAAACTTTAAGTCTCCGTTCGTTTGGTGGCACTAAGAGTTGCATGCGTACTGGCAACACAGAAACAAAATGGTAACTGTACTTAAAAGAGTCTACCCTCAAAAAAGAATAATGTGCTTTTGTGTGCTTCTTTCTTGGTAAAAGGGGTGCCTGCAAAGGATATTGATAAGGAAATGCTTCCTGTTTATGCTGACAAACGTTTATGATGTAAAGCGGTGCATCATCAGTCAATTGGCGTAGGCGATCATGCCCCTCCACAATCTTCGATCCGCAGCTGTGTGTATCGGTTAGTATGTTTTGTCTTCCTCTTTCTTTCTAGTGGTCACAACATGTTCTATTTTCCCTCTTCTCATAGCATGACCAACAAATGATTACTGTCTCTTTCTGATGTTTGTGATAAGTTGTCTCTTTCAAAACATCTGGGTTGCTCTACTCAGCTGTCCAAGGAATTTTAAGGATTCTTCTGTTAAACCACATCTCCGAGACCTCTAGATATTGTTTAGCTTGTCTATTCATTGTCCAGGCTTCACATGCGTATGTTAAAACTGGCTCTATATTAGCATGCAAGAATTTTTTTCCTAACCTCCAATGACATGGATTAGTTGCATACAATGTTATTCATTTGACAAAATGTAGTTTTGACTGGCCCTATTCTGTTCTTGATCTCTGTGATACATCTTCCATTGGATGTTATCCACATGTCTTCCCACTACTGAAGCCAATTTTTCCATTTTCTGCCACCTATCAATTCCTGTAGTTCTTTCAGACTTGTCGCTATCAAGACTGTTACATCAGCATAATGCAGACTCAGTTTAAGAGCACCAACCACAAATCCTGGCATATCTATGATAGATCTCATTATATATTCACTGTATAATGAAAACAAATCAGGTGATAGTACACATCTTTGTCTTACTTCCCTCTTCATGCTATGTGGTGCATAGCTGGATTTAAAAAAAATTTCCCCAAGGACGCTCTAAAATTGTTGAAGTCCAACTAGTCGTCCTGGGAACAGCATACAACATAATGCATGATGGATTCAAATTTAAGAAAGTGTACCCAAGGTGGGTACCTGGACAATCGAATCTGAAGTAAAAATGTAGTTTAGAAAACACAGCATACAGTTCTATGCAGCAGGTTTGAAAGGATTGATAAAACGATGAGACAAGAGCATCAATCTTGGTGGAAATCATATGAAAAAAATTAAGAGACAGTGCTTGTGTAAAAATAAATTTGTTTTCAAGTTGTTGTCTTCAGTCTTTTTTAAATTTTTTAACACCTATTTGTGACTGACTTATTGACTTCCCTTTATAGTTTAATAAAAAAAATATACATAAAAATAGGTTAATATCAGAAACACTACTGTAAGTATTCTTTAGGTTTAAGCATTAATATAAATGTTAGAGCTCTGTGACTTTGTCCTTCGGCATAAAAGGCTCCTCAATCTAAGAAGTTTGAGAAGCACTGTACTAGAGCTACACTAGGCAAATTGTGTGATAATTTGCAACAGCTACACTGCGACTCTAGTTATGTGACTCATTACTATTTGTTGTTAACCTAAGCCTTTCCCTATTTCAGATACTCTTGATTTGATTTGATTCAAGAACCGACATCACAGCACCCGAGGCATTCCCATAAGCGCTCTGTCTCCATCTTCAGCAGCCAGTGAAGAGTTCCGATACTAATGGTGCCAATAGCTTTCTGATTAAATGTCCGTCTTGCCTTTCCTCTGAGCCTTGAGCTTCTGCCAGAACCTCTTGTCACCCTCAACTGCATCAATATCACCAGACTGTGGTGATCCATCTGCTCCTCCGAACTGTGCACGCTCTCCTACAAGGCACCAACCACGTCTGCCCTATCATGTAGCAGTATTCCACCAAGTTGTGCAGAGCCAGCCAGTTTGTCTGCCTGTTCATTTCTCAACACACCGGCATCACCCGGTGAAAAAATCCAGACAATACTCCTCACTTGTGTCCTCCGCAGCGAAGCATGTCACTCTGCACGAAGCATACCTGTCCTGATCTTCCTCAGCATGCTTTCTGAATCAGTTACAATTACAATGTGTGTGTGTGTCGTGTTCTCTAGCCAGCGGAAAGCTGCAGTGACCGCCTCCTCCTCCATTCTTAAGCTGAATGTTGTGGTATCATATGCTAGACTCTGCTGCACCAAACGTCGACCATTAACTTTTGTTAAAAAGCCCCAAGCACTTCTTTTGCCTCTTGACACTGAACCGTCTGTGTAAATGATCAAATCCTCTGAGCGAGCATTATCTTGAATTAATTGCTGAATTTCCACCTCTGTGGCACCTGCTGGCCAGTCTCTGCATTCCCGGCTCAGCGTGATTATGACTCTACACAAGTCTGACTGCTCAGGTGGCACTTTGACCCACTCCTCTCCTCGCCTAATGTTCTCAAGGATGCAAACCTGTCTGATTGTGTCTTCTGCCTGAGCCATCCATGACCTCCCTCTTATCAGCCGCTGACTCTTAACTGCACCCAGAGCTTCATGCAGAGGGTGATCTGTGTCTGCAGCTACCCTGAGATATGACTTCGCCTGCATCACCTTGTGCCTACCTGCAACCGTCGGCAAACCAAGGATGTATTGCATACACACCACTGGGGTGTCTCTGGTGCAACCCAGAATGACCCGCATAGCCGTGTTCTGTATGCGCTCTAGTTTGTCCATCTGACTCTTTGAGACGGTAAGCAGTCCCAGGTCATAATCCACCACTGACAGGATCAGGTGCTGATATAGTGTGCTAAAGCATTCTCTGCTCTATGTCAATTGCAGCCATAGTCTTAAGAGCACTAAGTCCTTTTTGGCATCTCGTCACAACACTCTCCACATGGTCCTTAAATGACAGGCTCATGTCAAATGTAATTCCCAGATACTTCAGTTTGCTCTCTCTGTTTACGTCTCTACCATCTATCGTGAGACTTGGGACATTAGTTTTAACGATTCTGTTGTCCAGAGAACACCACAAAACAGACGCCTTTTCCGGGTGGACGACAGCTTTCATCAGATACTCTAACATGAAGAGCCCAATGGAGTGCAGCAAAGAAAAAACAGAACTTTCGCGGAGTTGTAAGAAAGAACACTAGACAATTTCAAAGTGTGAGGCTGGACTTGATATTTAACAAATAAAGAGTACTCTCTGATTCTGATAGCAGTTTTAAAAGTGAAGAACACACATAAACTAAAAAAGATAACAGGAAAGGCAACTTTCTTCTTTTAACAATTTCAATGTTGGACATTTTCCCACACTGAGTACCACCTTGCTAGGCCACTGATTTTATTACAAACTTTTTCATAAAAAACAGAATATTCACTCTTTATGGAATGGATACCACTTTAGTGGCTTTTGTATCTAGCACGTTCAGACCGAACGCAACTATAAAAGCTCTTCACAGAGACTGTTTCATCTAGTAAAGGTCTAAAACTGTTCTTACTGCTCTGTCATTGATCAATCTCAGCCAGACAGTGACAATAGTCTTGATACCGATATTATGAATGGTAATGCAAGTGCACAACCTATTACCAGTAATGTAGGTTAGGATGAAGATTATCCCTGCTTCGATCAGCTATTTTTGGAATTCAGTGAAATGTGACATATCAGACAAACATGATCATAGCATCCAAAGCATTTAAATTAATTGTTTCAAATAAAGATGGGTGGATACATTACTGAATAGAGCAGGCATGTGAATTCTTAGAAGTGGATAGCAAGTTAACAAGTTCTAGAACTTGTTAACAAGTAAAAGGTAAGGTAAGCACAACATTTTTTTTTGTAAATAATCTGCATATGTGTATAACATCCTTGAATGTTGTTTGATTTAATAATATTTTTGTAATACTGCTACTTAAATAGTTAAGATTTATTCTGCACTTGTTTGTCTTTAATTTGATGCTATATAATATGTCCCTATACAGATAATACTTTTTCTTCAGGAAAGTTTTAGCTGTGTCATGTTGCAGTAAAAATAAATTCAGCTCAAAATTAATGCTGTCTAAACCCCAGAAAAAAATTTCCTCAAAGAGTTAATGCAATACTGATTTCAAAAGCCTGCATTAAAAACCCTTAGCTGAACTGGATGCTGGCTGCTCCATTCACCACTGTATTTTTGAAGCAGCCGTGATAACAAATGCATGCATGATATGCTAAATTAAGTAATTAATTGTTTACTTATGTATGAACTGACCTGCATGGGTTCTGGATCAATTCTTCGTTTGAATTTCTGAAACTGCTTGTCATCCTCTGTTTCAGCAGCTGCAGACTGTTCAAGATCAGCAGTTGCAAAGCTGTCCTCTACTTCCTCAGTTTCAGCCAGCATCTTCATTTGCTCAAATTCCTGCAAGCATTCTTCTTCACTTTTGCTGTTGTTGCAGTCAGCTTCAGAAACATGTTCATCCTCTGTGACAAGTTCAAATTCTTTGAAAAGTATGCCTGCAGAGTAATTTGCTCCTGCTGGAAAAAAAAAAATTCTTTAAATTCAGCAACAAAATGATGAAATTATAAAATGTCCTTCAGTTCACACATCTCTCTATGACTGCTTATTTTGCTGTTGTTAATTACTAGTATATTTCTGTGAACCATCTAATCTGTTGTTTGTTTAATTCCTCTACCTGCCTTTGTAGAATTAGGTTAATGATTTACAAGTAGAGTGAGTTATCCAGGCAGTTATTATAAGTGACTGATTCTTTTCTTGAATCAGTATTCAAAGAAATCCAATTGATGTTTTTATCATAGAATAATTATATGAGCAATTGATCTACTAAAGATGCATTAACTATTCAAACAAATGAACATAAATTGCAAGAAGCGATACAAAATGCAGAATCCCCATGTGGGTTCCCGGGCCCCACTGTGGGGGAAAACAAGAATAGACCCACTGCCTGCCCAACAAGCATGTCGTAAGAGTCAACTAATTTTGGGGGCTTCCTTCGGAGTCAGAGTACACCTGCCTAATAGGCAAGCAAGCAATTAACAGTCTGCATGCAAATGAGGCAGACATGTGAAATGGATGTGCACACAACACTCAGTTACTGGAGCTTGACTAGAGTCCAGAAGAAGACGAACAACAAGAACATTCCTCCAAAGTTTACAGCCGGTGAACATGAAGAAGAAAGAAAACAAACTACTGCTAGTATATTCATATTTATCTCTTTTAAGATGGCTCCATGGTTTTTTTCTGCAAGAAAAGTGTCACTGTCAGGCCTTTGAGAACTAGAACATAATGGTACAGAATCATTCACTGCCAACATTCCAGTGATGCTAGAAGCAAGCATGTTAGCTGTGTTACATACAGAACTTCCTGTAATGTTTTTGAAGCGCAGGCAGACCTTTCTTTGCTCACAAGCATTTGCCTATTGTGGACTTAGAGATTTCTTACATCGATCAGCTAAGTGAAGGGTACATTTCTTGGAACGCGGCATTTTTCACTTCACAGCGGTCTTAGCAGTTTCAATGAAAACATCTTGGAGTCGGATACCATGTGATCAGTTTCAGCCAGCACGAACACGTATAGATTATGCCAATGAGCAAGGTCTTGTTTACACCCACACATGGAAGTTTCTGGGATTTTGTAAGGGTCAATGAAACAGTCGTGGATAGAACAAGTGACATTCTTATATACTGAAACATGCCAGGAAATGTGGGGGACATAATAACGATTACAACAGTATACAATTTATACAGCTATCTCATTGTGTAAATGCCGCTGCTGAGTCTGAAAAATCACCAATTTCGTAACGATTTTCAACAAACAAATAATTTCACAATTAAGGTTAGCTCAGTAAAATATTAATACTGCATTAAAATGACTTTTTAAAAACAAAAACAAGTACTGAATCTGAACTCCACCAGACCGCTGGCTCGCTATTTTGATAATCTCTTAGCCTGCCGCTAAACTGGTGTCCCTCAATGTATGTCGGGAATTTGCGTACTATGAGAAAACAATGCGTCACAAACTAAAAATAACTAGCCAATCGTAATAAAATCTCGTGGACAGTCTTCCTAGGTTAACCTATTTTCTACAGTGTCTCCAAGTTTCATCTTATTCTAGCCACTTGTTTGCATATAACTAATATTTTTGTATATCATGTTGGTTTTTTTCGCATTAATGCCCAGGAGCTCAGGTATAGGAGGCAGTTAGGTTTAGGGCCTGAGGTCTTGTAGGGTTAAAGAAGACATACTAAGGTGTGTAATAATGAACTTGTCCAAAAGTTGTTACTCTGACCCAAATCTGTTATTTTCCACTGCCGAACATGACCTTAAAACACTGATCCCCCACATATCTATGGTAACACAAGAATACTGTCTTTATTTTCTTTGTATCAACTGACCTTGTTATCATTGTACGCTTTGACCGATATGGAAAAAAAGGATTAAGAAAGAGTGCACTAATTACAGAGGAATATCACTGTTGAGCCACACAGGTAATATGTATGCCAAATTAATTGAAAGAAGATTAAGGCCATTAATAAAAGAACAATTTTCAGAAGCTCAGATGGGTTTCAGACGTAACAGAAGTTGCAGATACACATTACTTACACTAAGACAGCTGACAGAAAGAGCAATAGAGTATGTTAAGACATGCAAAGTCGCATTTATAGATCAGGAAAAAGCATTTGGCAGAGTGGATGGGAATATGTTGTGGAATTTCTTGAGATAAAATGGAATCAGCAAACAGCTTATATATATATATATATATATATATATATATATATATATATATATATATATATATATATATATTTAAGTATCCAGAAACCATGAGTTGTTAAATTAACACCCTTTGGCTCGGTACTATGGATATCGCAACCTTTTGGCCTTGATTCCATGATAGGTACGGTAAATCTGGGAGAAATGTGGCTTTTCTGCCTACCCCAGAGCATGAACCCGAACCACATGGAAATCGTCACCCGGTCACCACGAAATAAGGTTTAACCAACTATGCTAGCGAGCCGGGAAAGAGCTTATATCAATCAAGTTGCATAAAAAAAATAGTTGGTACATTGCAACCTTTTGAAGAAAATTCAGGAGTAAGACAGGTATGTGTGCTTTCTCCCCTGCATTTTATAACATACATCAACAATATATGCAAGGAAGCAGAGAGTCAAGAAAAGAATTATCTCAGAATTGTTATTAGCAAATGACCAAGCCTCACAGTCAATACGAAAACCTGCCAGCCAATATCAAGGCTTTTACTTTTATTATATAGGGCCGAATGTCAGGCACAGTCATTCTTTTAGCTACTCTGTGTTGGGCCGATTTTTTGGCCACATTGTCTCCAAAGGGTTAGCAACGTTTTTGAATAAGCATGTCTAACATTGAACAAAAAAACAAAAAAAAGGAAATACAATTCAAAACTGCTGGTTGGCGCGGTTATACTGGACAGTGATAAATTGAAAATCAGCCTGTGTCAATGGCCAATAAGCGTGTGATGTGTTTCCTTGGAACTCAATGAATTATACGCATCTGCATCAGCTGTAACTGTAATTTCAAAAGTAAAGTCAGCTAACCTCCGAATAACAGGCACTAAAGATGGCGGCTAATCGTGGCCAAAAAGAGGGCTTCAGTCATGTGTCAACTGCGCACTTCAGACAACTTAATTTGCGGTTTTCTGGCGACTTCCGCCATCGCCAAGAGTCCCCCACGCCGCTCATGTGGCGTGGTTTGTGGCTAAAACTAGATGGCTAGGACTCACGAGCAAAAGCTGCAGGAGATGCGGAAGCTGCTGCTGTTATTCGGAGGATAGCCAGTAAAGTCTAACAACTTTTTTCCACATAAAGTTTGAAGAATTTAATTAATGATATCAAACCACCTACTTACATTTTTGCTGCCAGCTATGGTAATAATTATGATATGGCTCTTGAATTTTTGGTAATTAAATAATAATATTATTATTATCATCATCATGAATGTGAATATTGAATATATGAATCGAATGTGTACCTGGTTCATCTGTTGATCCATTTTCTGCACACTGACATAGCTTCTTGTGTCCTGCTTTCCAGTCAATCACCTGGTGGGCTTTACAGCAATAGTGTAATTTTCTGCACTGGGAACATTTCTTTGTGCCTTTACAACCACAAACATGGCACAGAGTTTGAAACTTGTCTGCGCTTGGAAATGAATCCACATCGGTGCCTTCATCAATGCTTTCAGGTGGTGGGTCTTTAGAGTAAAAGTTATTTATCAAAGGCAGTTGGGAACGAAACACTCTAAAGTTGCTATTATCTCCTTGTGAAGAACATGAAGCATTGGAGCAAACAAATACAAATATTGTTCTATGAAATGTATCATCCCGCATTGCCAGCGGGGCATAGACCTGCATGAGAAATATGCATGGGTCGCTACACTTCTGGCACTTAAGATCCTCACCACCAAGAACAGGCTCAAGTGACAACCATGAAGGTTTACCCCCAATTTTACTAGGAAAAAACTGGCTTTTTAATAAACTCAAGTCTGTGTCTTCTTCAATAAATCCAAGCTTGACTGGATGCCGACACATGGCAGCCGCCATTTTTATTAACTACTTGTTTCGAGTTTCGACTTTTGATGATTAGACGGTGTCTAATGAACTAATGACAGGAAGCTAGAGGGGGAAAAAAATACCCTGCGAACTTTCCTCAAAATTCGCATTTTTAATAACTTCTTCTTTTGTCAATATCTGCTTATGCCGCTAGATTGTCAGCACCCGAGCCAGGGCGCGCTCAGTCATTTAATAATTAATATGCAGTGATGTTTGCAGTCTTGAGGTGTAAGCGACTCCCTCAATCCACATTCTTCTCGGTCTTCTCACATTCCTCCTGGTGTTACGATGTTCAGGTTGTACGCTCTTGCTGCTGGCATCGTTGGTTACCGTCGGCGTCAACAGCCATTAAACATACAACATATGTATAGTAATTATAAGCGCACGCTAATTTTGGGTCTAAAAATGGTGCCAACATGCAGAAATCTGGCATGGAAATAAAATACAAAATAATATGACTTAAGCTATCAAATATATTCACACTTGATTTGCATTTCTAGACATTCCAAACTTTGCACAAAACACTGAGAAACAGATGGTCAAATGGTGTAGTCATCGCGTCAGAATATTGAAAAGCAAGAAAGCGCCCAACAAAATGTAGAATTATGACATTAGACAACGACACGGAATCACAATAGCCAGTGCTTCTTCTTCTGCCTTTCTATCCCCTAAAGGAACATTGGCCCTCAACTCACGCCAAGTCGTTCTATCCTTCACTATTACATAGAGCTCTCCCCATGTCCTCAATATCTTTCTAATTTCATTCCCCAGCTCTCTTCTCCATGGGGTTTTGTGTGTGTGTGTTCCTTCCTTGATTCCTATGCCCCAGTGGGTTCCAATGCAAACATTCTAGTTATGACGTTCTCCTGTACTCTCAGCGTGTGTCCTATCCAACGCCAGCGTCTTTTCCTCACCTCTTGGTCCACTGGAGCCTGCTTAGTTCTCTCCCAACGCTCTACATAAGTTATTCTATCATACTATCTAATTCCCTCTATTTTGCGCAGGCGCCAGTTTATGAATGTAATTTATTAGTAACTGCCTTAGTAGTTCTCTGTGTTGCCAAATCCCCGCCCACCCCACCCTCACCCCCCTACAAAACTACTGATTTGACATTAGAATTAAACATTTTAAGTTTAGTATTTCTTTTTATTTCCTTTGACCTCCACAAATTCCCTAGTGTTATGAAACCTCCTCTTGCCTTTTGTGTTCTTATTTTAACTCTTTACGGACGTTTAGCCAGTATACTGGCGATTAAGTCTATCCATTGAAGACGTAAAGCCAGTTTACTGGTTCATGATAGAGACACTCTAATCTTGTTCCGTTTGTAGGGTAAACGAACTTTTATGAACAAGTTTTTTAACAATTAGGATTAACAACAGGGTGTACTTTCATTTGCGATGTTCATCGTGGTCGGTGCATTATTTTGTGATTTAAAAAAAATTATTTAGATTTGATACTATTTTAAAGTGATTTTTCTATACTAAATGATAAGGGAAAAGGTCTAGAACTGTTTATACTGCTCAATCATTTATGAATCCCTGCCAGACGGTGATAGCAGTCTTGATATTATGATTGATATCTAGGAGACAAATCTACTAGCGATAATTTAGTTTAGGATATGAACATTTCACAAAATATTTCAATTAAATCAATGTTTCGCTCAGCTGTTTTTCCGATTTTTGGTTATTGTGAAAACTGACATGTCATACAAAAACGATTATAATATCCAAAGTATTTAAATTAATTGTTTCAAATAAAGACTAGCTAATACATAATTGAACAGAGAAGGCATGTGTATTCTTAGAATTTGATAGCAGTGTTGTTGAACCAGTAAAAAATAAGGATAGCACACAATTTTTTTATGTTTAAAATTTTCATATGTGTCTAACATCCTTGAATGTTGTGTGATTTTAATAATATTTTGATGTTATACTGACAGTTTAGATTTATTCTGCACTCATTTATCTTTAATTCGATATAAGTCCCGATACAGCCCATACTTTTTATTCAGGAAGGTTTTAGCTTTGTCGTGTTGCACTAAACAAATTCCGCTTAAAATTAATGCTGTCCAAACCCCAGAAAGAATGCCGTCCTAAAAGAGTTAATATCTCTGTCATTTCCTAAATCTTTATCTACATTACTGCCCAAATAGGTATACGACTCCACGTCTTAGAGTGGGGTGCCAGTGCTACCCATCGACAAATGACTTGCAAACTGTTCATCTACTACGGCAACAGTGGGAATTAGCGATAATGCTGATAATTGATTACTGTACATCAGGATTAGCTTAAGGAAGTGCATAAAATCTCCCTTTATCTCCTTGGTGCCAAATACAGTGCATAGAATATTTTTAAAACATTCGTAATTCCCGGTTCGATTGCAACTGAGGGCGATCTGGCCGCAGCAGCTTTGCGCTGGCTTCGAGAATGATGTTGAGAGCTGACAGCAGATGAAGTAAAGTTAAACTGGGCAATCAGCAAGTCCTTTACAGAACGTTGCTCTCTTCATGGCATGCCTGAAAGTATCCCTTTCCCTAGCCAGCTCTCTAGCCCCATGTGCCTTTAACGCCAATGTATCTTCAACGTCCTGTATCCCTCTTTGTGGAGGTCGACCCCTACCTCGCCTTTCACAAACTGCACCCTCCATCACCTCTTTTCCAAGCCACAATAACGTTTGATGTGTCCAAAATACTCTAACTTTAGAGACAGAACACTGTAAATGAGCCGGTTCTCCTTGATGTTTCTTTCACTCGTGTAGAATGTTACCACAGGAAAAATGCATGATCTCGATATTTTTACTTTTAACTAATTTACAGGTGATTTGCCATAGGTTTTTTGTGCTGTTTAATTTTTGTATTGCTAATTCAAGTCTTCTTCTGACTTCTTTTCGAGAAGTCTCCACTGTTATTCAATAAAGAACCCAAGTATTAAAAATCTGTAACATTTTCGATTGTGATATGTGGTTGGTGTGCTTTATTTACTGAGTACATGTAATGGTGAACTAATGGACGTAAAACTGCTTAGTAAAACCAAACACGCACAAAATAAACTTGGTTTGGTTCTGCCACTGCCGCCTCTATTTATAGGCCAACTAGTTCAACGGGGATTCTCGTTCTTGTGCAAGTAGAGAGTCCCCCTGTGTTCACATTTTTATCGAGGAGATGTATATACAAATTAAACTACAGTTTAATTAATTTGCGACATATTTTATAGAATTATATGTCATTTTGAAGGTAAATGAGCGTGCTATTGAAATATGACAATAAAGGCTCTTACAGACAAACAAAAATACTTTTGCTACAGTCAACATTATCATAAAAATCAATAGAAATAAACAGAAAGTTATTCCAGGAAATGTAAAGAAATATTAGTGCTAACTCTTTGATTCTGAGAGGGTGTTGCATTGGAGAACCGGAGGGGGGTGGGGGGGGGGGAATGACATTTGTACTTTATCAAATTTAGCACATGAAAATAGTGATGTCAATCATACACATATTATGCATAACATAAATATAAATGATTGATGGTTATTATTACTATTAGTAAACTACTGCAACATATATTTACACTGTTTTTTAATAATTAGTAAACAAGCACAGTCAATTTGAAATTAATATGTGCAATAATTTTTCACCCAGAGTAGTTTTCTTAACAGTACACATAGCACTACTATTTAATTTCAAGGTACAAACACCACAAACACATTTTTCCAGTCTCATCTTGTTGGATGAAATCAGTTCCTTAACATTGTGAATTTTTTTGTTTGAACTGTTTAAAAAACATCACACATATTTCTGAATACTGCATGCAGCAACGCGTATAAGTATAATAAATGGTAAACTATTTTAAAGGTAAATGAAGCACATTAGAACAGACCATATAACTGCTAATGCTGTGCAACATACACACATTGAACATACAAATTCCCCATATAGATACAGGGTCTTGTTGTTCAAAAATGCAACAAACAGTGTCTGGAACAAGACTAAAGCCCAGAAGGTGTCTAGAAAAACAAATGGCCACGCTTTGAAAAGAACACATACGTGGAGGGGGAAAGGAGAGATCTGGAAAAGGAGGAGAGGAACAGGGAGTCACAAAACAAGGACTGGGTTTTGTGAACAGAGCAGTTTCCTAGAGGCCCGAAAGTTAAGCTTGGTTATATGAGAGATAGTTTTAGAGTACGTTAGAAGACGTTAGAAACAGTTGATAATGTGAATAACGTGTGAAGTGGTAAAGCCCATGACATTGCAACCTAAATTTAAACATTCTTATTATTGTTAATGAATAATTGTCGTCATACTTAATGGACATTTTATTTTGTAATAAACAAACCTAACTTCATTTGATGTGTTGATCGATCACTGGCTGTGTGTTAAACACAAGAAAGACACAAGAACTCTATCATACATGCTTCTTTTTGGCATACTTTCGCTTGGGTGACATAAAAGAATAGATTGTGTCGCAACAGTGCCACTTTAGGGTCTGTTGTAATGTCTGTTGTTAGCTGATGAGCTGTAGTTATGGAAGTATACATCTAGGCGGCGATAGGCGGTCATCTACAAACATAACGTAGGGGGCTTGGGTCATCAGCGTCGCCTGGGCACAGGGTGCTATAACTTGCTAAAGAGCAAAAATGAAAAATTATGGCAAAGGGGCAGGTGTTGTATCATAGTGTCGACGGCTCAGTAAGAAGCGTTTTAAATTGTCGTGTCAGCTAGTTTCCTGGGGAGTTTTAGGGGTCATCTAGGCCTCCTGGTCATATGATGATAAATCTTTATATACAATAAAAATGAAAAGTAATGCAAAGGAGCGGGTGTCGCATCGCGATCTTTGGTGCTGGTGATCACTCAGAGACCAATTCTCATGTCAGCTAGTTATATGAGGGGCTTAAGTAGTCATTGAGGACCCCTTCCCCGCCGCCATTTGTAGGGATGGGGTTGGGTAGCGGAATGAATTTGAGCCCTAAGTTTCCAGCGATTATGTTTCTGTGTA